AAAAGGCACACTAGCACTTCTGAACTTGTCAGTCAGTCAGGATAATCCTAGTATTTTTCAATAATAATCTTACCAGAAGGTAAAATCAACTCCATAGATTCATCATCATATTCCAAATTTTTATGTGATGGCACTTCATCAGACATCTCCACGTCCTCCTCTCCTTTCTGATAGTCAGGGTAAGTGCTCCTATGAACCAGCAGCAGAAACATCTTGTGTTAGGGGGAAAATGAGAAATAGGAGTTTCATCCTTAACAGTAGCCACACTCTTAACAGGTCAACCCCCAAACCAACAGCCACCTGGAATTTTCATTCAAATTCATCAATCGGATTTCCAAGACTAATGTGAATGATTTCTTGCCAAGGTATTCCCCAAATTGTTACAATATGTCACTGCCATTAGATAACACTAAAAAGGTGCCAGAAACATCTGATTTTGTCAGCACAATATAAGGGGAGAGCATAGCCCCTCTCATCTCTATTGCCATTTTCTTCATGGGATGATCAATGAAACTGAAGAGGTTCCTGATTGCATGTAGGCTCCTACATGTGAACAAGAAAGCTGGTGTTCTTGCTGATATCAGTTGCCAAGGTACGAGTGAGACTCTTTCCGCTTCAGTCAAGATTACTGTGCAAAGGAAGTGATGACAGAGAGGCAAAGCGGGCTCTAAATGATCTGATTCTCTAACACCTGAATAGAGCTAATATAAACAAGCCACCATAGGGTGAACAAGCCGCCAGATGTTCTGGCTCATCTCTGAAAGGGGTGGAATCTTGAAATTTCTCAACACATTTTAACACCAATCTTCACATAGTACATTCAGGATTACTCCATCTGAGGCAAAGGGAAAAAAACAGAGACGCAGGAGAAAAAAAATGGAGACCCTCCCCCTTTTAAAAATGTGTTCTCATAACCACAGTTGGTTGGATACTGATCTTGTAAAATATTAGTCACCTCAAAGAAAAAGTTCTAGACTGGTTCTCATTTCGATATGTTCATTTTCTAGAAGCAGTATTTGTATCCACAGGTACAGTCAACATGAGATCCCTACCCTAATCTGGAATGGTCCAGGGCTATGCTGGACAATCAGTTTAGTCTTTTTCAAAAAAAATCATACCACACTCAGAGAAAAAGAATTCATTAAATGATGCAATGGATCACCAAAAAAAGAAAGAAAGAAAGAAAGAAAGGGGTCCAGGATAACAGGAAACGTACAGTCAACATGAGATCCCTACCCTAATCTGGAATGGTCCAGGGCTATGCTGGACAATCAGTTTAGTCTTTTTCAAAAAAATCATACCACACTCAGAGAAAACGAATTCATTAAATGATGCAATGGATCACAAAAAAAAGAAAGGGGTCCAAGATAACAGGAAACAGAAATAAGCTTAGTATTAATTATTATCCTCAAAAGGGTGTGATGCAAATCTTTTTTGCTGAGCTTATCAGCTATGTAGAGAGCTGCCATTTTGTATTCCACAGAGTCCCATGTACAACAATGGTTCTATATGCGTTGGCTGAAATCCTGCTGCTTAGTGTGGCAAGTCACAACTAGAGTGGGCCCACTGAATCAGCAGGTGTCCGGTGAGACAACTCCTCCATACATTCCATTGATTCAAAGGGCTTAATCTAGTTCAGCCTCACTACACAAAGCAACAGGATTTCAGTCATGTTACAATTCTTATAAATAAAACCTCCCACTCAGCTGTTCAAATTCCTGCATGGAAGCTCAAGGGGGAGTCTCACCCACTCCTTGAACATCTTACCTTGAAAACTTGTATGTCGGAAGCAACCTGGTCACACAGAACATATACACAAAGCTGAACGGTTGTGCTCTCTAATCTGACAGCTGTCATGTCCTACCTGAAATCATAGAAGTCAGCAAACTCCAGGGCTGCATCTCCCTCTGTGAAGAGCTTGCAGTGGCTTTTGTCATTCATGTGTGCCTGGACCGCTTCGGTCGAGTAAAAGGATTTCCCTTTCTCATTGCACCACAAGCAGATCTTCCCAACGCCAACCTTCTCTCCTGTTAGTTGCAAAAGGGAAGAGATGCTGTACTTTGATCTTGCATCAGCTCAGTCTCTTCAGCTATTTCATCATCCAAACACTGGCCTTGTAGAACCGAGATGCCACACAGAGTAAGCTCAAATACTAAGCAAATCGCTGGTCTTTATGCACAACCCCAAACAAAATACCTATGTCTTATATATGAAAAGTCCAGGTAACAGGAATATGTCTGCACAAACCTGAGCTATTAATCAGGACTGCTCTTCTCTGCCAAGCCTCAACTGGCCACTGCAAACTCTAAATAACTGTGTTATTCTGGAGTGTGGATGGTAGCAATTGGTTTCTATATGCAAGTATTCTGCTCTTTGTAGCATAAGTAGTGCCTTCACCAAGAACTGAATAAGCATATGTGCGTATCAAATGACACATAGATAGGGGGGAAAAACAGAACTGCTCCCACTGTCAAGAATCTCCACCATCTTTTCTGCCTTCTTTCGCAATTCAGGTTAGTAAAGTGTGCCCCCCAGATGTTTTTGGACTGCAATTTCTATCAGTCTCACCAGCAATGCCAAGGAGTGCCAGGAGATGAAGTCCAATGACATCTACCCACAGAAAACTCCTGGAAGGAAAGGACAGTTTGGCTCTGTGCATAGTGGACTTTAACTGCATCCCTCCTTCAAATGTTACACCCAATATCTGGGGTGCAGGGACTGAATCTGGGATACAGCATCCTTCTGTAAGTAGTCTCTGTGCCCTTACAGCCTCATCCACACTAATGTAGATGGGGAGTCAAGAATATATGTGTTTAATCATTAAAATGCCAAACAATGTTCAAATATTTAAGGGTTGGACAACCAGTGCTCTCCCAATACCATCAGACTACAATTCCTAGCTTTCCTTGCCACCACCTAAGGCTTATAGGAGCTGCAGTACAATAACAGTAGAAGGACCACAAGTTGGTCGCCTTGATGTTTAACAAGAACAAAAAACAACACTATGATGAATGTTGCATTATGATTCCTTGAGATCAGCAATGTGATGTCCTCTGGTTAAGAGTTGGAGAGCTCCGAGACTTACCTAAATACTTAATCAGCCCTCTGAGATCTACAAGATATTCTATATCTGGAATAAAGAAACTGTGGACTTTCGTCATGTGGGCAACACTCTTCATGAGACAGCTTGAATGGTGGGAACAGAATAAGCAGTCTGTCACTGGAATTGCATCAGATCCACTGTCGCTTGGTCCATCTGGTATTCCTTCCATCTCCACTTCTTCAGACTCCAGCTCTTCATCTGAGTCGACATCCTCCCAACCTTTCAAAGCAAAGTAAACATTTAAAACCACTCTTGCTGCACCTACAGGACTAGGTAACCAGCATACTTATAACATTTTAATTAGTGATGGGCTGTGATTGGTTAGGTAGCCTGAGTCTTTCACATCAAACACTCAGGCATTTGCGCTGAACATGAAAACATGACGATCTCTACATACCTCCTTTAGTCTCCCTGGTATCTACCCTCCTACTCACACACATCTAAACTTGGTGAGGGAGGCGGCATGATAAATCTGCCTTGGTTCTCCAAGATTTGCATCATGTATTAGAGCCAGTCTGTGGACTGTGGTTGCTATCTCGTGGCTGATCCCTATGATGATCCAGAACAATGGTCCAATCGAGTGGACCATTCCCACTTGATTCCGCAAGATATGCTCACCAGGGTTTGGCCCTAGCATGGGGGGCTCTCCAGGCAGTGAGTTAGGCATCCATGCAACAAGCCACGGATGGGGACTCGAGTCAAAAGACTCACTGTCAAGTCAGACTTAAGTTGCACCGGCGACTCAACGCAGACTTGACTTGCTTGGGTTTTTTCCAATAACTCGAACTTGACCCGCAACTCAGAACCCCCCCTCCTTTTTTTCCCTGGGGGAAAACACTTGTTTTAAATAGGGACTTGGACTTGGTAACAAAAACTCAGACCCAAAGACTTGCCAACAACCCTGCAACAAGCCACAGATGTCCTCTGACCACAGACCTCTAAGCCCACTGCATGAGGTTGCCAATTAACCAATTAATCTATCAATAAAAGCAACACACACAATTTCCCAAAAGCAAGAAGTATGCATGTTTTTAGAAAACCAGTATGCAACCCCAGAGGACATCAGAAAAAACACACTCCTTCTCACATGAGGGGAAAAGAAAAAAGCAGGAATGCTTCTAAGATGGGATTGTTATTAGCAATCATCCTAAGCACTGCTACTGAAAACATTTTCTTCACTTCTCAGTTCCTGCTGAAAAGGATTCACTTTCCTTAAAACCCCAAGCTGTATGTGGAAGCTGCCCTCATCCTGTTACCTTCCTCCATGTCGTCCCCTTCCTCTTCATCCTCAGATTGCTCTTTCGCCAGCTTCTTGGCTTGCTCTTCAAACCACTGAAGTCGGGGTGCTTTTTCTACATGTTCTCTGCTTTGGGCTGAACGGCTACTTTCTGCAGCAACCGAAGATCCACAGGTGCCAACAGAGGATGAGGAAACCTTCTTTGGAGATGAGGATGGCTGAGCCCGAATGGCTTGCCGGATAGCGGCATTCATGGCATCTTTGTCCACGCTCTCCTCAGCAAGGCCCTTCTCCAAGTTCTTCTCATTCAGGAGTTCCACTTTTTTGCTGACAGCCTGGACAGCTCTCTTTTCAAGCTCTAAGTGCTTCTTGGACTTCAGGTGGTTCTCATAAGCATTGAAGTTGGAGAATCGCTTGCTGCAGGCCGTACAGTACGTAGCTGTGGCTTTGTTCTGCTCCTCCAGCCCTGCTCTTTGGGCCAGGACCCTCTCCTGGAAGTTCTCGGCTGTCACTGGTGGCATCCCTGCCACCTTCCGCTTCAGATTGTACCTGTGCCAGTCAGTCTTGTAATGGGTACGCTGAACCTCAGCATCCTTGAAAGCCACACGACAGGTGATGCAGGTATACAATGCCATGGCTGGAACAGAAAGCGAACAGACATAATAATGGAAGCTGACCAGAACAAGTGAAAAACTAGATATATGGGTCCCCTCCAGCTATGCAGTTCTAAGATGATATGATGAAGCCCTTCTCCTTGGAGTGCTAGCTTTCTAAATGCATGTGTTATTTTGTATGGAGAACCTTTCCTTCATCTCGGGCTCTCACGTGCTGTCAGAAGTGGTACCCTCAGAAGTTTGCCTTCTTATCTGCTTCTTGTGCAAATGAGGCCTCCATTAATTACCATGAAACAGTTTGAAAAAATTAAATCTTCCCTTTAATTTTGTTTTTCACCTCGTAGTTTAAATACATTTTATAGGCTTCAGCCCTATAGCACATCTAAGTCATTAGTTCATTAAAAGAACTCCAGAAAGGAATTAAATACTCCTTCAAATCTACAGCTGCACATTTGCAGACCCGTCATTCTTTTAAAAACTGAGCCACAAATTACAGTAAGAAACCACTGAAATCAAATCTACACTGAATTCCTAGTGTGGTGTAGTGGCCAGAGCAATGGACAAGGGCTCTGGAGGACAGGGTTCAAATCCCCACACCAGCATAGAAACTCACTGGGAGACCAGAACTGGTAAAACCACTCCTTAAATAGCTAACCTTGAAGAAAAACCCTCAGAACAGGGCCAAACAGCCCGAAAAACCTCCAACAACCATTGGATCCCGGCCGTGAAAGCCTTCAATAATACATTCACCTTGAAACTGTTTGGGTCGCTATTAAGTCGGTTCCGACTTGACAGCACAGAAGGGACACATACACACACACACACACACAGAGAGATCAAAATGCCTCTAGGTCAGTGGTTCTTAACCTTGGGTCACTCAGGTGTTTTTGGACTGCAACTCCCAGAAGCCTTCACCACCAACTGTCCTGACTGGGGTTTCTGGGAGTTGCAGTTCAAAAACACCTGAGTAACCCAAAGTCTAAGAACCACTGCTCTAGGTGAGGGACTCCCTTCAGACTACACTTGCCATCAAAGCTTGAGGAGAGTTACAGCCCAACACGTTGGGGCGACTCATGCTTAGGAAAGGCTACAGACAGGGACGACTACTGGGGCATAACGGTAATAGGAGGAGCCTGAAGCCGGATACTGGACGAAGACCCATCCGGTTCTGACTCTGGCGCCGGCGGCCCGGGTCCCCAGGCCAGGAATCGCCCCTGGCCAGTTCCCCCAACTTTCCCTCAAGCCAGTCTGCAAAACATCTGGGCTGTAGCGCAGTGGCCCCCAACGTTGGGCCTCCAGATGTTCTTGGACTACAACTCCCAGAAGCCTTCACCACCCCCTTCTGCTGGCCAGGATTTCCAGGAGTTGAAGCCCAAGAATATCTGGAGGCCCAAGGTCGGGGACCGCTGCTTCTAGCGCGCTTCCAACTTCCCATCAGCCTACCTGGCGCCGCCGGGGAGGAGGCCTCGCCGCTCATCATCCGACAGCAGGGCAGGCCACCCCGGAAGTCAGCGGATCCCTTTTGAAGTCCACCACCGCCCAATGGAAAGGCGGGGAGAGGCCAGAGAACGTTGGAGAGACGGGGGGGGGGCGCGAAGATTCCAACGCCTCGGGCTCAAAATCCCGGCCCCCGCAACTGCTGCCGGCCTTCTAACGCCCCAACAGCCACGCCTCCTCTTCTCCCTCTTCCGGGAAGGAGGAGGAAGTGACTCGACCAACATGGCTGCCGCTTCGGCGTTCTCCGTCCCGCAGCCTCGAGCGCCCCCTCTGCTGCCTTGGAGGACTAATTGCTGCGTCGCATCGAGATTGGGCGTCCTGAGAAGCCGTCCGAAGAGGGACTTGGGTGTTGCTCAAGCGAGAGATCCTCAGGCTTCGTTTTCCTCCGAAGTTCTCCCGGGGTTTCGTTGGCCGCTGGGTTAGGAACGGGAAGAAACCTGGTAGTCTGTACTCGGGTGGCTTCTGGCACGAACAAAGCAGCAACTCCGAGAAAACGGGAAACTCTTCTGCCACCACTTGCTGGGACTTCTTGTGCTGGGATGAAAATTGCAATAGATGGGCAACAGTGGCTCTCCGTATGTTTTTGAAGTGAGTGCCCATGATCCTGCACTATGGTCTATGCTGGCAAGGGCTGATGGGAGTTACTATCCACAGCCTCTGGAAGGCCACATATGCTCCACCCTTGACCTTTAGAAACACTATGTTCTAAAAACCAATCTTTGATGCAAGCTTAAGGGCCATATAGGTACTGTATGTACCACACATCAGCTGTTTCATCTGTGGGAGCCAAGTATCATACCTTGCAGAGGACAATTCTCTACAGTCTGAAGTTCCTTTGTAAAGGAGTGTCCACAGTAGAGCCAGGTTAAAATTACGCTGTAAGGAGAAGAAGTAACCAAAACTTTGCAGTTGCTGATGAGCAGTATTGCTTGGGCCCTACAAATTGGTCAGGTCCTCATATGGTGGCATGCAATGCATTTCTATTTAAATGAGGGTTGTTTTTTTTCCAATCTACAGATGCAAATTTGCACATGCATATATTATGAAAATCAGATTCTGTCTATGATGAAGTGTTTACTCTCTCTCTCTCTCTCTCTCTCTCTCTTTTGGATGATTTGTAAGTGGCACCTTAATATCCTTCTCTGGGAGAGAGTAGGGAATTGCTAGGTCCACACAATCTCTTCACTTTCTTTAATAACGAAGGAATAAAATTGCTTTTCTTTTTGTGTTAGTAATTGCAGGGAAAGAGTGATTTATATGAGATGTGGGAAAATGTACCTTGTGGAGGGTGGCTGTGGTAGTGGGGTATTACAGCATTTGTGGGAGCAATACAGAAAGAGCCTTGGAGAGCAGTGAACCCCTGGTCACAATGAGGTAAAGTATTGTGACAATCTTTTGTGGACATGGTTCATTTAATCAAATTCATACCAAAACTGTTGTGTTGTTGCAGTAGTAAGGGGTTTATAATTGATGAAATAAGAAATCCTTTCTTCACCTAAAACATCTTCTGTCAAGTGGGATTCTATTCAGTTATAATGAAGAACAGTTTTTATAGATAGCTTGGAGATGTCATCTAGTGCAGAAAATGTGGTATCTCCCAATTCTTGGTAGGCATGGTCTGATTTTTAATTATAGCATCAATTTGGAGCCAAAATGCACAGGCTTCAGATTTGTTCCTGGGCCTAATTCATGCTCCAATCCAGCTCTTTCATTAAAACATTAGGCTCCGGATCATCTCAGGTAACAACTCCCCTTGTATAAACTTTTTTGGCCCCTCTCAATAGCAGTATTGTTTCTGATTTTTATTTGTAGCTCCTTTCATTGTCTGGAAACTGGCAAGGTTTCAGGATGAGTTGCTGTGCCTGCTGATCTTATGCAATTCTGCCACATGCACTAAACATTTATAAGCCTTTGCTGACATCTCATTGTAGCTAAGGGGGCAGGGCATCCAGAACTTTGGCAAATGGAGCTGTGTGAAACTCTGCTGTGGCTCTGAGACATGATCTAAGTCTTGGAGCTGAGGCTGCCTGCGCCAATGAGATGGGTTATGGGGCAACTGTGAGACAGCTGGAGGATGAGAGACCCCAGCCAGCACCAGAGGCGAAGACAGAAGCTCGGCAAGGGACAGAAATAGAGGAGCTGACTAAAGAGATACAGGGTGTAAAAATGGGAGAGGTTCAGGAGGAAAAGGTGGGAAAGGAGAGGAAAAAGAGGGTGGAGTTTGAGGCAGGAATGGGGGAGGTAAAAAGGAAAGAGAGTCAATTGCCTCCCAGTTGGGAATGGATGTGGATGGAGGATTCCTGGACAAGATTATGGGAGAGGCTAAGAGTGCCTAAGGAGGAGGCAGATTACAGGAGGAGGAGAGAAATTCCCCCCTGGACCCTCTTATTGGGGAGGAGCTGAGGCTGGAGAGTGGAGGAGGAGGTTAAAAGAAGAGAAAGAAAGAGTTGAGAGAGAAAGGAGAGAGGGGCTAGAATGGAGAATAAGAGAGATGAGGAAGAAGAACTACATGGAGGACCCTGGGAGGATCAAGACCCCGAGAGATGAACCCTGTGGGATGGCAATTGGAATGACGGGACCGTGCCCTTGCTGGAAGGTTCAACGGGGCAGACCATGAGAGACTGGGTCCCCACTGATTTACCGAGACCATGGAACAATAGTTATGGTAACCCATTCCTGTTTGAATGACGGGACCGTGCCCTTGTTGGAAGGTTTGACGGGGCAGACCATGAGAGACTGGGTCCCCACTGATTTACCGAGACCATGGAACAATAGTTATGGTAACCCATTCCTGTTTGAAGATTGGAGACCCCTTCCGGACTCATTGGCAGAAGGAGAAAAGACTCATAAACATGTTACAGACACTTATTTATTGTTAAATGCATCAATAGATCTTTCACCTGTTTTGAAGCAACAAAAATCTACTGATTTCTTTGAACCGAAAGAGGGGCCCAAGGTTGAACCCTCACAGCAACCCCCTCCATTAGCAACCAGATGTGTTGAACGTACAGCACTGGAGCTGCAGACATGAAATCTCACGGAGGAAGGTGTTCCCTCTCTATCACTATGCGCTACTTATTCTTGCTACTCTTACATATGTGCCAATATGAAAAAGTTGTCCAAAATTGCAACTACAATTGAAGGTATAAATAAGGTTGAGTGACAATGGAGAAGTTACTCTAGTCTTGAAAGAGACATTAGGTAAAATCCTAATGTCTCTTTCAAACATTAGGTAATATTGTGCAGCTTCATGTGCTCGAGGGCAATCCCACCAACAGCAGCAGTGGCAAATCACCACCAATTAAATGCTTCCTTTGGCCATTTTGGGGTGCATGTAACTTTGTTGCATTGTGTATGAGTCATGTGCCCCCTGAAATTGCCTTTACTTAGTGGGATTTGCCTTTAACCAGCAGCAATTTGCTGGTGGTGGTGCAAGCAGCCTCCCCATTGTGCACACAGAGCTGCACAAAAGGTTTTTAGCCATGGAAACTGATATTTTAATGAGTATTCTCTAAAAGAAATACTGTATAAAGTACAATATCAAATGTGAATAGTTCTGTACATTGAAAGGATAGCTTTCCCAGGATAATTTGTCATCTCTGAAGCAGCTTATACCATTGGATGTTTTAATTTTGTTTTTGTTTGGTGTGTGCTTTCTTTAATCGAATAAGATAAAGCAAATACAGTGGACCCTTGACTTACAGACAACTCGACTTACAGACTTTTTGAGTTACAGACTTCTCTGGCCGCAAAATTTAGGTTTGACTTGCAGCCTGAGAATTGATTTACAGACCAGAAAAAAAACAAAATGGAACAAAAACGACCTGTTACGGGATTAATCGGTTTTCAATGCACTGTAGGTCAATGGAGACTTGACTTACAGACTTTTTGACTTGAGAACCGCCTTCCAATACGGATTAAGTTCTCAAGTCAAGACCCCACTGTAATAAAGATAGCTTGATTATTCATGGAGATGATACTAAAATCATTTTGCTATGGCCATTTATTCTCAAAATACTTCATAGGAGGTGAAAAGGGAGCACATGCTCCAGTACATTTTTGTGGCTATTGCTGTTAGTAAAAAAGAAGGGGTGGTATTTTATTCTAGCAAGTTGTACTTTGCAAGCTGCACTGCCACTAGGAAAATGTGTAGCACATGCACCAATGCAAAAGGCAGAAGTTAAAGTGCAACAGGATTGTGGACTGACTTATAACTTGTTTATGTACAAAGTTGTAGTGAAATTATTCATGACCATACAAGTACAGACTGTTAGATAATGGAAACCATGTTTTACAGAACCTGAGATAGCAAAGCAAAGTGTGCTGCTTATATACTGCCCTATAGTGCTTAAAATACTCTCTAGGTAGTTTTCAATTTAATTATGCAGACTACACATTGCCCCCCTCCTGCAGTGAGCTGGGTACAACTTACTTACCTCAGAAGGATGGAAGGCTGAGTGAACCTCGGGCCAGCTACCTGGGATTGAACCTGGGTCATGAGCAGAGTTTTGGCTACAATTTGGCTACAAGTTTAACCACTGCTCCACAAGGCTCTAGGTAGGTGAGGATCTCTTGGTGTCAATGATTCTTGGCTGTGGCGATAACAACAATGGCTTCCCCAAGCATCCCTGGGTAACCATAATTGTGTTGCCATCAGACAAAATTGACAGAGACGAGTAGCTTGCTGAGGAACAGGTGGGCAGGAAAAGTTCACCATTGAAGGGGAAGACTGAGGGACTGTGACTTGGACCTCCTTCAAGTCAAGGACAGGGTTGTAGTGTTGTATGAACAAGTGTTGTAGAAGTCCTATGTGAAAAACAGAAGACTGCAACAGTGGGTTCCATGACGTTTGATGGTAGATGGTGTAGTAGCGTTGGGATATGCAGTGACAGGGAATTTTGTATGCTGTGGTTTGCTCCCTGGAGCAGTTGATAAAAATCAGGCTAAAATGCTCTGTTTTACCTGAAAATAAGACCTAACTTGAAAATAAGCCTTAGTATGATTTTTCAGGATGCTTGTAATATAAGCCCTACCCCAAAAGTAAGCCCTAGTTAAGTGAAACTCTGCCTTCCACCATTGTGCAGCATCCAGAAGATGACATGACTGTATTTGAATAAATGTAAATTGTTGTAATTAAAAAAAATCCCCTGTAAATAAGCCTTAATGCATTTTGGAGCAATTAGGAGTAAAGTGGGCTTAATCCGTGTTGACGCAGGGGGGCCAGGGTCCTCAGGAAGCAATAGGATGATATTGATATGGTACTAAAGATTAGATTTGCTAGCAGCAACGATCAACTACAGTGGTGCCTCGACTTACGAACTTAATTGGTATTGGAATGGTGTTCGTAAGTCGAAATGTTTGTAAGTCAAAGCACCATTTCCCATAGGAATGCATTGAAAACCGATTAATCCGTTCCGGCTGAAGAAAAAAATCCCCCCCCCCCCCCCCAAAAAAAGAACACAGCAGACCCGGTTGGAAGGCGCTCTGTTGCTGAGGTTTAAGAAGAAAAAAACCTCAAAAAATAAACAGTAAAGCCACCAACAACACAGCACAGAAACATACTTACCCCAGCCAAAACACACCCAGTTTTTTAAAAAGGAGAAAACAGCAGCTTACCTCCCTGCAAACACACATACGACAACGATGCATTCTCTTAACTGCTGAAAGTGAAAGAGCTACAGTACAAAGCAGCCTCGTCACCACCTAGTTAGAAATCTGAATTGCCCACCTTTTTTCCCTGCCTGTTTCTGTTCGTAAGTGGAAGCTCCATTCGCAAGTCGAAGCAAAGCGTTGCGACCGGAGCTGTTCGTAAGTCAAAATGTTCGTAAGTAGAGGCGTTCATAAGTTGAGGCACCACTGTAATTGCTAATGTACAGAAAAATGATGATGCCTTGTTTCCATGAGTATGCTGCCATAGGCTCTACACTCTCAGTGCTGTGGAGCGGCTAAGGGGAGAAAGCTTATACAGTATTGGTAGCTGTTGTTGCCGAGGTTAAAGTGATGATACAGGTGAGTAGTATATAAAAGCCAGTGTGCTTCACATTGAGAACCGCCTTCCAATACGGATTAAGTTCTCAAGTCAAGACCCCACTGTATTGGTAGCTGTTGTTGACGAGGTTAAAGTGATGATACAGGTAAGTAGTATATAAAAGCCAGTGTGCTTCACATTAAATGTGGAGAACCAGTAATCTTCCTTTAAGAGGGGAAGATTAGTGATAGTCATCATTTAGAAGTGCTTTGTGGCTACACGTTTGTTCACCTTTCACAATCTGAGAATTGGAGACCCCCATCCCATTTCTGTGCTGTTGTTGACGAGGTTAAAGTGATGATACAGGTAAGTAGTATATAAAAGCCAGTGTGCTTCACATTAAATGTGGAGAACCAGTAATCTTCCTTTAAGAGGGGAAGATTAGTGATAGTCATCATTTAGAAGTGCTTTGTGGCTACACGTTTGTTCACCTTTCACAATCTGAGAATTGGAGACCCCCATCCCATTTCTGTGCCGTATAGGGCCAAGAGTAGCAACTGATAGTGTGTGAGTAGGAGACACCCATTTGATAGCTGCTTTAAAGGGTGGTCATACCTTGTGACAGAAGTGTGGCAGGATGGGGAATTCTATCCTACTGTTTTACTGATTTTTTTTTTTAAAAAAAACACCCATTGATGATTCTGCAGGCATTTAGATAGTAGTTGAGCCTAGTACTGAAGATGGGCTTATTGGTGTTGAGTGATGTAACAACAGGGTTGAGAGTACCTGTAGATTATTGCTTTGAACCACCATGGCTCTTTGTCAGCAGGCTCTTCTCAGTGATACGACACTCGAAGGCATTTGGGATGAGCATCCGAAGTGGGAAGTGTAATCTTTCAGTGATGTAGGAGCGGATCTAGGGAGTAAAACTTGATGTGGACAGAAGCTGCAGTGGATCCAAGTTGTGTGTATTCAATTCATAATCGAAAATTGAGTGGCGAGATAGGACAATCTAAGTAAGTTCATCTCTCTTTGGAGTGTGATGCACACTAGCGACAGACGGAAGTAGCATAACTGCAACTGCTACTTCAGTAATGAAGGTTCATAGCAATGGTTGGAGGGTAGAAGAGCAAAATATACTGGTATCATAATTGGTAGCACAGCATATGTTCACATTTGTGAATATGAATGCAAATATGGAGTATAGTAATTCTAAACAAATACAAAATTCATCAGTGACTTAAACTTTGTCCTCTGATACTTTCTTTCCAACCATTTATCTATATTCTAAATAACAAGCACATACATAAGTAACCACCAGGTAGGTTTCTATCTTTATATGTGCAGATTAAGTAGCTAGAAGGGCAGCCTTTCTATAACCCACATTCCTACTGCATGTTTATGAAAATGTAAAGAAGTGGGTTTTTTGTACAAAATATACATTTCAGCCACTCCAAAGGGTGCCCTGTAAATCACTGGAGGACAGATTTCAGGTTCAAAGGATCTACGGTGCTTCTCCCATCATCCAACTAGCGCAAACAGAACATATTCAGATTTAAACACTTCTGAGGTCAGCAGTTTGAGTACCATACCTAAATAGAGCTCCCTGCTTGTCCACAGAAAAATCTTGTTATCCTAACCTTTATTCCAGCAGCATAATTAGGGAGGAAAGTCATTTTGGTGGTCTTGTATATGAAAAACAGTCAGAAGTCTTTGCTGATCTGCTGTAGATCCACACGTATCACCCTTGCCTTAGAGCTCTTAATCATAGTCTGTTAATTCTCCATTCTTCAGAAAGAAATGCATGGTGAAGACAAAATTATTTGACAAACCTCTGAAATTGTCAGGTGAAATAAGTAAATATTAAATATTTTATTTCATATGGCCCTCCAGACTGTTACAGTGGTTCATATAGATTAGAAAATCAAAATAAAGGTGACAATGAACTTACTGTTAACATGTACACAACTATAACAACAACAAAAAAAACCCATGGACATTACATGGTTCAAAACACTTTTATAATAATCATAATTCCATGTTTATAAAACAGTAATCATGCTAGGTAAAGTGCTGCAAAATACTTAAAATGATTTGAGACTTTTGTAAAAGATTCCAGTTTCTGGTTATCTGAACTGATAAAGAGCTGCACTGATTTTCTTATAAAACAAGACCTTTAAAGCTGTATGCATGTGTATAGCTACACTGCTGTTAACCTAAAACCACATATAATGATCAAAATTTATTTTGTTTATACTGCATAAATTGCAATCTACTTCTGCTTTATAGATTTTTTTTGGTTTGTATGTATTCCAAAAAGGTGTCTGTATAAAGATTGATATTTGATAATTTATAATTTGTTAATTCTGATCCCATCTTCAAATACGATTCCAACACAAGCAAAAAGCATTCTTCCACTGAAATCAATACAGAAAGGGGCTTCATGTGTTCTTTTTAATTTAATGCTTCTGCTAAATATGGCAGTTAAGTTTCACCCCACAACAAAGCAACACCCATTAAGACTGAACAGAGAATTTTAGGAACTATTCTTCCTATTCTAGTTGCGTATTATGGCTGCCTTGAACATTTCCCAGAGTCTGTTTTCTATTAACAAAACACTCATCTATAATCCAGTTTAGTTTTCCCTTCTTTGAGCTGCCTTTCCCCTCATCTCTCTCTTTTAAAAAACCGATCTTTAGGAGATTTGAAGGGACCCCACCCCATGCTGCATTTGCTCAGTTTTCAAAAGCATATCTTGGCTGGAATTTACAGCACATTCTATCCAAAGGGCTCTTGGGCGGGTGGTTGAATGGTGGAAAGTGCTAGCAAGCTTTGAGGAGAGCCGATATTAGTTTGTGTCCTGCAGACATTCATCCATTCTGAAGTGTTGGGGTGTCCAAGCACTAAGAGGTGATGAGGATCAGCCTTAGCTAGCAGTGAGAGATCACAGGAATTGTAATCCAACTGCACGTGGAGAGTGGCCCATTCCCAATCCCTGCAACAGAGCTACCTATGGTCAACAGAGCTACCTATGTGAACTTCTGGCACCAGGTATGCTAGCATAAAATATCCATAGATACACAACCTTGGCTTCAACATGATAGGTAAGATACTATTAGAGGTATTAGTTTCCAGTGAAGTGGATGGCAACTCCCACCACTTGTATGAGTATCAAGGCAGTCACCATACACCTGTTTATAGTATAGTCGAACACTAAACACCCAAGCCAGTGTTTTACATCACTTTCAAAGTTATGTTTGATAAAGTGTTCATGGGATATTGCAGGAGGGAGTAAAACTAAGACAGAAGATTCAAACAGCATTGTTGTACTAGTCTATAATCACAGTCTGTGTTGCTGTTATTTAACGCTTGCACTAAAAGCTGTGCATTCAAATCCAGTTATACTCCTGTTGACTTCTAAGCAGCTCTTACATTTTACTGCCACTTACTTTCAAGGATGTATGCTTAGGATTTTAGCAGTTTCTTTTCTCAGAGAAATGTTGTGCATACCAAGACACTTCTTAACATGTACACTTAAAAGTTCTGCCTTAGGATGTATCCAAAGGCTTTGCACACCTATAATGTATTGTTGTCTTCAGCCTTATTATTTGTGGAAAGAACAAAAGAATGACAGTAGGGGGGGCATGGGAGAATTACAAGGGGATCCTAGAACTTGTAAACTTCTGTGAATAAAATAGGACTCTTATTTGACAAAGTTTTACCTGGAAGTACCCTTGATCTTTCATTAAGTCTTTGTGAGAGTTTGGGAACTAGTATTTAGAGTTTGGAGTTACAGGATCACTCATGGTACTGAACTGGAGGGATTTAAGTACTACTATAGTGAATATCATATTGATGCTTTTGTCATGCCTAGACCTGAGCTCCAAAAATTTCCCCTCCAGCAACTCAAGAATAATGGAGAATAAGATATGAAAAGTAACCAAGGAGGTGAAAACCTCTTGCTGCCAAAGGTACTTATGATTCACTGCATTAGAGCTGATGTCTTATGGTAATATTATTCTTAACTTTTATCTGCAGATAACTAGAATGTTCATGGAACTAATAACTTGGAACTCCATGCAGTTTAGTTATTAATGAATTATTCTGCAGTAAAGCAGGGAAGGCATTTACGGAAATGTTATTATGTTAAGTACACAACAGACACTGCTTGTTTCTATTCTATGGAATGAAAGAAAGTTAATACAATGAACTTCTGCTGGGGAGGTCTGAACCTGTTTCTCATCCTTCAGACAGAGATCTTGAAATCTGAAATATTTATCAGTCCCAACTGGATGTGGGCAAAGAATCTGGAATATTTTCCAAATTTTCACAACCAAATAGATGCTACAGTAGAGGCACTATGAAAAGTAGAAATCAGCATCTGTGTTTTATACTCCATATTAAGAAATATAATGTGAAACCAGAGACCCACAGAAATTATTCTGCTTTTAAATAGCAGCCTGCTATGTGACGCAAGAAACTGCTTTTAAAACAGAAGGGAATTCAAAGACAGTTTGTGCTTGTGTAGCTGTTCAAAGCGGAAAAAGGAAAAAAGTCTAAAGCAGTACATGCTGCAAGTTTATGATCCCAGCCCGCAGGTAGAGAAACTTCCAAAAATCCAACTGAGCACCTATTTTGCTCTGTTCTGGGGAATCAGTGCAACTATGCAATTTTTTCCAGGACTTGGGGGGGGGGTGTTATTTTATTATATTAAGAATAGCTTTTCAAAAATCCTGATACCAGAAATAGAAGTCTTTACAAGAAGTCTAAAATAGGCCCTCCAGCTGATTTCACCGAGAGAACATCATTCTCTAGAAAAGTACTACTGTATCTGTTATTTGGAAATCCCTGCCACATTTCTATAAACAAAATAATAAAGTGCACATACTTCCAATTTACAACACAACAGAGATGAGCTAGGAAGATGCCCTGCCAGTTTACTTAGAAATCTTCCACAAACCTCTTCCTCCCTTCTCTTAAAGTAACCTCAACTTTTTAATATTGCAAATTAATGTGTACATATTCAGAAGGAAACCTGACTGAATTCAGTGGGACTCACTCCTGAGTAAATGTGTTTAGAGTCACAGACATTATAATGGATAACATCTCATTATTTCTTTATTGGATAGCTCCTAAACAAACTTTACTGATCGTAATTGATTTTATTGATTTTTAAATAATTTTGTGTTTTAATATTACAGGATGTTTGTAAGGTTTTTTAAAGTTTATGTTTGTGTTTTCATCTCTTCCTTTTAAAGTTAATTTTCTGGCGAGCTGGCCCAGTTTTATTAGAATAGTGAGTTATATGTAATATGATGATTTCTTATCTTAACCTTGGGAGAAAAAACATGTTTAAGAAGTACACACCACCATCAGTTTCTTTTTAACATACCTCCATTTGAGAAACAGGAAATGCATTCTGTATAGTGAAACTATTTTCCTATTCCTTTATTTATTCTTCATTTTTTTTAAAAAAAATAGGGAAGTTACCTAATGCAATTAAAGCTAAAAGCAAATAAAAACCTAACTAAACTAGTACTGTACGTACATTATTTGTGTGGCCTCATTTCATTGGTAGTAATGGTTAAAATCTTGCATTAAACTTGACTTTGCCAATTTAGGCCACAGTCCTGAACACTTTTCCTAATGAGGCAGCCCTACTGAAAATAGTGCTATGACACAAACAAGCTTAGGATCATGCTGATGTCTCCTGTCTTTTGTAGAGAATCAATACATCCACGTGATTCTAGCCTAATGAATGAAGGCATCAGCTTGACCAACAGAAAACATAAGCATGAGAGTGATAAAAGGACAGTAAGTATCTGTACTGCTTTTTGTTTTTTTGTTTTTTCTCTCTGGGTATGGAGGCAGACAGAAGTTGGGGATAGTTGCTCAAGCTACCTCAGACTAATAGCTGACATTGGGGTCTGTTGTTATTATGTGTTCTCAAGTCCCTTCTGACTTACGGAGACCTGATGAATTAGTGACCTTTAAAATTGGGGTCTCATTAAGCATATTGAGCAAGCCAAGAGTGAGGCGGAAAACTGAACTTCTGGCATAATGGTTCTGAATTCAGCATACTGTAGATTAATATTCATTATACAGCTTGCTTTGCGAAACAGCAGATATGGAGGAAACACTAAACTGGGCTTATACTTTTGAAGGGTCACTCAAGAAGCATCTTTATCTGTTAAAACAGTAGTAAAATATCCAAAAGTTTGAGATACGTTGAAATGGATGATATGGTCCCTCAGTTGGCTGACTCATTGTACCATGCTTTCAAAACCAGTGGCATTTTTTCTGTAAACTTTGGGTTACCTTGATAAGGCACTGCCTGTTACCATCCATTTTAAAAGGTAAATCACAAAGCTTAGAAGTTACTTTTTTAAGATGACCCAAAGTCAGCCACACAATATGTATAATGTTAAAACTAGGAGTGCTTTTTATGGCAATATTTTTATTTATATGCCCCGCATATTCTGTATTTTCCCCCCAGCAGTAACTTTTGCAGAACTAAACACAGCAACTCCACCTGTACTGTCTTTGATGCAATCACATGGTTGGTGTTGTAGGCCAAAATAACACAGAATGGATAGAACTGGAGGTAAAGAGATTGTCAATCCAATTTCAACATTGAATTTTTCCCTATCTCCCTGTCCCCCCCCCAACCCAAACTCAACCCCACACTACATATGCATATACCACACATAAACAGCATATATCTTCTCATTTGTTTGCCTTGCTGAATAGGCCTAGTACAAGGTAGCATATGGAACATGAAAGCACAACATCAAGCTGTTCTGCCACGTTCCAAGTCCTATAAGGATTGCCATGATTTGAAAGTGCATCACCTTGTCCTCCATAAAAATATCTGAGACTTCAGACAACTACTGCAGACACAGAATGGCAATTCAATTAGAAGAAGAAGTCTGGATTCCTACATTAGACATTATATTTGCAAAAAGGGTTCCAATATTGTTTACTCTGGAGGTTTAGCTATTCTCTGCTACATAGGAATATGGATGGCTTCTTGTTTCCTATTGATATCACCTCTCCCTGAAGCATTGTTGCCCAAATGCTTAAAAAGTAAGAGTAAACAGGCTGGAGGTGAAGAGGTTTTGGTTAAAGCCAAAAAGGAGCTACATTTGGCAATTTTTTGCCTCTTCCAATTCATTGGAGACACAACAGGTGGATAGGGTTTTTGTCCATTTCTATGGCATTACTATCAGAAACAAAACTACCAGCATCAACTGATCTATAACAAGTTAGTTCACTCTGCATGAAGGACATTACAGCACATCTAAAATAACAGATGAGGCTTACAGCTCATCTTTTTCTTTCTTTTTCTTTTTTGCATTTCATGTTGTCTGTATTTTGTTTTTGCTATATACTGTTGAACAGCTTCAATTTCCAAATTAATGGCCCCCGAGCAAATTTGAGAGAAAGCCTGATGACTTCTTCTTTTCTTGTGGCGCTTCCTCTTGGCCTTTGGTTAGCCCCAGTTCACTTTCCATCTGCTCAAGCTCCGACTGGTCAAGCAGTTCAAAATCATCTCCTTCCTCTGTGTCTGTCTCTTCACTTACGTTGGGGTCTGCTTGCAGGGATTGTAACTGGTCTCTGACAGCTGCCGATACTACAGATGTAACAACATCGCTGGCAATGGCTCTCACTAAGCTGAAACCCTGGTCATTCATCAAAGGCAAAGAGAAGCCTGCTGCAGAGTGCCCCTCCTTCTCTGGCCTGGTACACTGGTCCGATGAGGACAGGAGATGCTCCTTTTTTCTCTGCTGATGGACAGGCAGGCCAATGCTTAATTCATCCTCATCGTTTGTCAAAGCACCATTTTCCACAGATGGAAATTCTGCAAGATCTCTTGCAAAAGCCTCTTCATGATCACTCGGGCGATCAAAATCTATGAAAATGAAAAGATACAAAGATGATATGGATGACAAGCCCCACTGCCTACAACCTTGTTTCTATGAAATCATGCAGCAAAATTTGCTACAGACTGAATATAACACTACATAAAAGCCATGTTCAGTATTAGCAACATTCAGAACTTCACATTTCAGCCTGTAGGTCAGAACAGAACAAAAAAGCAGAACCACTTGACTATTTCAACTGGCGGGACATGTCAGCTTTCATTACCAGTGTCATGACCAATGGCCATCTATTTAATATACACAAACAGCTAATATATTACAAATTCAATTTATTTTAAAATATTTATTCTCTCTCTCTCTCTCTCTCTCACACACACACACATGTATGTTTCCTAGGGCTCTCAGATGTGCACCTGCTTTGCTTTTGGGATTCTGAAATCATGTATCCTCAGACTATTCTTTCCATAGGTACATGCATACATAACTGCTGTTCTGTATTTACGGTAATTTTCATGCATATGAGAGGCTTTCAAGTGATCATCAAGAGGATACGGTTATCATAATTTGAAAAGCAAACATGTCTGAACAAGTATTTTGGAAGGTGCAGGAGGATGATAATTTAAATTAAATATTGTTCTATTCACCCTCCACATATCTAGGAGGAGGAGGGCTGCCCTTTCCATATCTATAGCTTCTTTACAAAAACATATATATGAGGAGAGCCTCTCCCCCCCAAGTTTAAATGCTGAATAAAATTCAGAGAATGAAGGAGGTCAGATTATAAATTGCTTTGTTGTGTGAAAAGATCCAGCCAATTGTGGCCAGTATCCAATGGGCTGGTTCCACTGATGGAACTGCTTCTGCAAGCAAGTACTAGGAGAAGCACGTTCTATGCGTACCCCCAAAGCCTGCTCCAGAACACTGGGAAATCTGCCAGAGCCAGTTTTTGGGCACTGTGGAAGGTTAGGGAAAAGAGGGAAGAACAACTACCATGCTTGCTGTTGAGTGCTAATGGGACACTGGACGTAGGCTCTTCCAAAACCCTGGAAAACAGGAAAGAAGTGGTACATACCATCTGAAGTATCTGTCTGTGGAGTGTTTCCCTCAGATAGATTGAAAGTCCCATTATCAGTCCATGATACCTCTGATATATCTGTATCTGATACAGACAGCTCTTTGGCCACAACTGCAGGGCTAACCTGGATTTGAAAAAAACAAAAGGATGTCAAACGAAGCATTCTTAGATTCTAGTCAAAACTAAGCACCTACATTTTGAACGTTGGGAAACCGTTTCTTGACATGCTCCTAAAATGTGAACTCCTAACTTCAGTTACAACAAGCAAAAACAAAACCTGCCTCAGCACAGAAACAAAGTTGCTTCAGTGTATCTGAACACTGTCTTTTCCCATCACATTATATTGTGTAGCCTTGCTTGCCACAGTAAAGCAACATAATTGCCATTTTTGATGACACAGCTACATTCTAAATGTTTCTTAGACAAATAATTATTTCTGCAATTAGAGCAATGATTAAGAGATTAGGATGGCAAAACATGAGGCAATATGGGGAAAGGAAAGCATCATTTGGGGGAGTGATTTGTCTCCTGCACATAAACAAGTGTTTCAACATATCTTCAACACAATGTCTCCTGGTAGTAATAAAGCAGAGCTTGGAATTATATGTCTTAAAAGTTACATGTTGAATTATTCATTATTTCTTGCCAGACAGACCACCATTATGCTTATCATTGCTGTAACTTATAACTGCACAAACAGTTTTTCTGTGTTCTGTATCATGTTATCAGCAAATCATAACAATACAATTTAATCCTCTCTAGTTTCGTCCAGTGGCCAATTTTGATGTTGAACTTTGGAAACATTTATAAAAATACTATTTCTTTGTCTGCTAGGATTTAGGAAAGAATGGCATAAAGCTTGGACATTTCCTGTCAAAATGCCTCAAAATTGTCTTTTAAAGTAACTTTTGAAAATAACTAGGTGCTACTAATTAAAGCTATCTTAGTTTTACTCATTATGCCAAAAAGTAACTTTGTAACTGCTAGCTATATTACTTGTTGTCCAAAATGTAACTAGTTACAGGTAAACGTGTCACTTGTAATTAGTAAACTTCCAAGCTTTGTAATAAAATAATGAGTAAATGTGTAATAATAAATTCAAGTATAAATCATGAGGATGTTAAGATATACAGACTGTGTGCTAGTTTAAATCCTACATGTACCAGCTTATCTGGCTCATGCAGCACTCTTGCATGCTGTCTGGATATTTCACTTTTTGTTTGTGTAAGCTGAAACCACATGGCATTTGTCTGATCCATGCAACATGTACACAATGAGACTAAAGTATAGATGTTGCATTGATCAGGGCTGTGGACATTGGCTCCTGTGGGCAACCTGAGCAGAACACGTCATCATCATCATCTTAAAATTGCAAAGCTGGAAGGGACCCTATGAACCATTGAGCCCAACCCCAGTTAAGGAAGCACCGTGGGGAATAGAATTCCCAACCTCTGTGTCTTCAGCCATTTAACAAAATCACTGAGCTATCCATGAACCAGGTGCCACAGGGACAGAATATGCTGTCTTGATCCTCCACTGTGTGTATCCTCTGAATGCATATAAAGGACTTCTCACAGCAATTGAGAACTCAGGATGTTGAAAGAAATACACACTTCCCTTCAATATAGATAACAGAACCAGTAGACGTGCACTTGATCTCCCCTGCACTCCCCTCATGCACCTCAAAAAAAGTGTTGCAGAGGTCTACAAAATCTTCCAGAGCTTGTTTTTCAGCAGTTCTAAGGACCGCATAGGAAAAGTGATGGGAAGGGAAGAACTTTCTGTTTAGGCCATTCTAATGTTACCTTACAGTTGCAACGGGACAATTACATCCCAGATACATTCAAGACAACTGCATGAATCCGAACCTTGTTTTAATTTCTTGATGAGACTGTGAAGTTGTGACTTGTATTTTCAGAGGCTGAAACTGGCTGCAGAGACGCCTGCAGATATCATAGGACAACGGTTTCAAACCAAATAGCAGGTTTAGAGAAAAGATTGCTGAAATCCTGTTGCTTGGCATAAGACAATCCTTGCCACAAGGTGTATGTACATGCTGGCTTAGTGTGTGTGCACTCTCCCCCCCCCCAAGAATCACAGCAGGGACTTTTTATTTGCCTGTTAGGAACAGACTGAAAGTTACAAATTTTCTTATGCCAAGCAACAGGATTTCAGCCAATGTCTCAAGTAACTGTAGCGTGCAATCCAACACGTGCTTTCTCAGAAGTAATTTTCACTGATCTCAATAAGACTTGCCTCCACGTAAGCATGCATAAACTCAACTGCCAGAAACATTTTGGGGTATAAGTTTACATGGCTGAGCTGGTAGCAAGCAGTTAGGAATCTGACGGGAAGCCCTTGTTAATTGAACACAAGACAACAGTCAAGATCCTGCTGCATGCAATCCAACACGTGCTTTCTCAGAAGTAATTTTCACTGATCTCAATAAGACTTGCCTCCACGTAAGCATGCATAAACTCAACTGCCAGAAACATTTTGGGGTATAAGTTTACATGGCTGAGCTGGTAGCAAGCAGTTAGGAATCTGACGGGAAGCCCTTGTTAATTGAACACAAGACAACAGTCAAGATCCTGCTCATAGTTTACAAATCCAACCAACCTTAGGACACAGGGCTGATATGTCTAGTTCACTGTTGTCTTCTGCCAGCTTTGCTTTTATCATTTCTGGGGAGGGGAAATTACAGTCAATTAGCTTTTTAATATACTTTATCAGCCACATATAAATACTTCTTTGCCACACCAATAAAAATAAGATTCTACTGCAACTCAGCTAATACCTCCTAGCTATGATTTGTATAAAATCAACACATAAATTTGCAATCTAACCATTTGCTATTTTATTCATATAGCATGTGCACAGTGCATTCCAACAAGTAAGTAGTAAAAACATTCACTTTACATGAGACAGAGCCCATATAAAGACTCTAAAGATTTTTGGGAGGAAGATTATGGATGTTTTTACACAGGTGGATGAAGCACAAAAGCAGGATATCTCTTCTGGCTTTCAATATTCATAACAGAAGGCAGCTAGTGTGGTAGAGTGGTTCTAGTGCTGGACTAGGGCTTGGAAGACCTGGATTTAAATCTCCACTCACCCATGAAAGACATGAGTGACCTGGAGACAGCCATATTCCCTTGGCCTAACCTACATCTCAGGGTTGTGAGGATAAAGAAGAGCTGTGTATGCTGTTTTGAGGACACAGGAGAAAAGACAGGATATGCATGCAACAAATAAATATTAAAAATCAGGTTACATGGGGTGAGGAAATACATGTAAGGTGGTTGGTTTTTCTGCTTACCAGCTCTCTCCTTCACTTTCTGGTGGATATAATCCCCAATACCGAGATTTAGTTTCAGCAGAAGAGGCTTAATGTTATTATACACCTTCTGTCCAAATTCATTGCATGTGAAAAGTGGACATAAAAAGGCACACAATACTGTAAAGGAAGTGAGACAGGAAAATATGTAAACATTTCCAGGGATTAGGCAATGTTTGAGCCTTGCCAATGCTGGTACCTTCATTGAAAATATTTCTTAAGAGACACTAAACAACTGACATAGAAAAGGACTGACTTTCTACATTGATGCAAGTTAGCTAAGTTGCATAAAGACTAGTTCATGCTCTAATGGGATCTTGTCTATCACAGATGTTTCATTCATTCATTCAATTTATATCCATTGGTGCCAAGCCGCTACTCTAAGAGCTTACAACAAATATTACAGACAGTAAATAAAACTAAAAGCACCAAAAGGAGATTGCAAATTGCACTATGTAGTGTAGAGAGCCAGTAGTGGCTAAGGGAGTACATTATGAACGAGGAAATATCTGGTTCAAAAATATTCTCTATGCCTTCAGAACTGTAAAATATTGGTATAGTGCTTTAATGCTGAGATGGCATGTCTTTCCACTCTGAAGTAAGGAATACCTATTTCATTGGAACTAACTTCCAAGCAAATGTCCACATGACTGCCACTTAAAACTAAAAGACATATATTAGCACTGTTTTTTAAAGAAAATAAATTCTGCTTCATACTCTCTTCTGTGCAGGTGCTCTAAGCTTAACTGAAACAACTTCAGTTTTCTCCAGTATCCTGTTCCTCTAGCATGTTAACAGCAATCTTTTGCTGTTGGGAGGTAAAACATACTTTTGCCCACTTATTAAGCACTGTGATTTCAACTATGAATGCTTTGTGGAATGCGGTTATTCATGTTACCATGGGTACGCTTGGGACTACAAAACCATGACACCCCATTAGAATTCAAAGGCACTTACACACAAAGTAGGAGAGGACAATTCCAGGAATGTAACTTCCCAAGATTGTGAAGAATGTACACACACTGCAGACCAGGAGACAAAACTGTTCCAAGAAAAAATAGCAATTAGTGTACTAACTGTATCATTTCTGCCAGATTCAGCACCTCCATTACACTGGTCTTTTATGTGCTCTCCTGGGAGCATAAGGATATGTGCTATTTTCCATCAGTATTTTTTCAGTACAATAACCAGAAGAGCTGTGAAAACGTTTGTTCTTCTAATGTTTTTTTGTCCTTCTCAAGGAACAGGTTTCTCATGTTGAGGAGGGCAGAGTGGAGATATTTGAAGAAAGCTCCTGCAGGTCAACCCTACCTTTGCGCCATTCCACTGGTAGCTGAAGGGAAGGTGATATGTGTTATTTTCCATCAGTACAATAACCAGAAGAGCTGTGAAAATGTTTGTTCTTCTAATGTTTTTTTGTCCTTCTCAAGGAACAAGTTTCTCATGCTGAGGAGGGCAGAGTGGAGATATTTGAAGAAAGCTCTTGCAGGTCAACCCTACCTTTGTGCCATTCCACTGGTAGCTGAAGGGAAGGCTTCAGTAAGATGCCCTGAGGAGACTACTGCTGGCACTCAGAAGCTCTTGTGGCTACAAAGAATAGGCTGCATGGAGGATGGCAGGGGCAGAGCAAGGACAACATGGTCTAAGATGATAGTGGGAGAAGGTGAGAAGGCTGCCTCAAACATTTAGGCAAGCAGGTCCCCTTGTGCTGGCTATGAGGATGGCAACCATGTTCTTGGTCTGCCCAGGACTAAAAGAGATATTATAGATGGCATTTTAAAACTGGCAAAAAAAGAGGCAAGAGGCCAATCTTGGATTGATAACTCTGGAGCTGATAAGCAAAAATGAAAAGGGAGAAAGTAACTTGCTGAATAAATAATAGAAATCATGGGTTTGAGAGATATATATTTACATATAAAGTAACATGGGTAATATACTATAAGCAATTCTGGCCAGGTATAAATCTTAATGGTAGACAAGCATATGTAATTTATGAATTCTAGAAATGTTGATGATGAATAATAATATTGGATGCTTTTGTTTCTGAGGCACATATACTGAGATATCAAATATGTGTGAATTACAATAGTGACTATGTTGACAAGATTAGATATATAATATCTTTTTGTCTATAAGAATGGAGATCTGGCCTTCTGTAGATTTTATTGGTGGATAAGTAATCTTGAAGATGAACTAGAAATGTTGATGATGAATAATAATATTGGATGCTTTTGTTTCTGAGGCACATATACTGAGATATCAAATATGTGTGAATTACAATAGTGACTATGTTGACAAGATTAGATATATAATATCTTTTTGTCTATAAGAATGGAGATCTGGCCTTCTGTAGATTTTATTGGTGGATAAGTAATCTTGAAGATGAAAAGATTTCATTGGTGGATAAGTAATCTTGAAGATGAAATGAGAAATGTTTATGATGAGAACTGGACAGATGGAAATGCAGGTGAGAGAATTCATAAAATTTATTATAAATTTTGGATGTTAAGACACTTAATTAGATACTCGAAATATGGATATGAAATATGTGTAGATACACATGGATATACTATGATGTAGTATGGGAATAGGGTATAAGATCTGCTGTAGTCAGAATTTATATAATGGATAAGTTGGTATGGTAAATACCTCCCCGCTTATATGTTTTGTCTGTCTTACATGTTCTTGATTGTCTTGTAGGTTTTTGTTGGTTTTGTTGGTTTTGTCTGTCTGTCTGTCTGTCTGTCTGTATGTATGTATGTATGTATGTATGTATGTATGTTTAAAAAATAATAATTTTTTTTAAAAAGACATAAAAATCAAAATGATAATCAAATGTGATTCCTGTATTCATATTTTTAGGAAGCAACTTTTCTCACCCTTGCATTGCAAATGCATAATGAAATCTGTCACAATATATTTTGCCATTCTATGGGGCTCAACTATAGGACTAAAAGGTGCACACTGGGACAGTTGTCTGCAATGCTGGAGAAGATATTGAAGCACAACTCAGATGGGCACATAGCCAAAGATAATCCAGGCTTCCAGCAACAATTCCAGCATTTCCACTGTACAGTGTGACTAATTTCACTGCTACCATGAAGTATTCTATTAATTTCCTTAGACCAGGAGTGGGCACGATGTCTAATGTCCTCAGGACATGCCATGGGCTGCACCTCGACTCCAAAATGTGCTTTTAATTCCCCTAGCATGCGAAGTGAACTGCCAGTTTTGGAAAAAAATATTCCAAAATAAGGCTCTATGCTTTGCTTTAGAAAAGAACTGTTACCCCAGAGGTTTTCAAAATTCTCCTAGTTTTGAACTGGGAATTCCCCCCTCCCAAATAACTGATGGAAGTGTAGTACTAAAATGTGTTGCCAGGTCAACATGCACTCTGTAGGCTGCATATTGCTCACCACAATCTTATACTGAAAACCTTATACACATACTTGAGAGTAAGTCACACTGAAGTCAGTGCAACTTACTTTTGAGGAATCATGTATAAAATTACTTATCATCCTTCTTTACTATTCAGCTATTGCCATACTCTTATCAGGAAGTCAATTAACTGAAATGAGATTATTAGCCTCATTTTACCTTGCCAGGATTCTGTTCTTTGAAGTGAGACATTTCTTGAAGAAAGATGGTAAAACTCATCATTGCTTCTTCAAAACACTGGTTCAGCCTAAGCCTGTATTCTGATTTGGAATCAGTGATTTCCCAGCTGAAAGGAACAAACATTAAAGACTCATGAAACAAACAACAGAACAATGCCCTGTGTTTAAATAATCGTGCCTACTTTTATCCATTGCTTTCTCAACAAAACCTCATTTGTAGTCATTATAAATCAGTAGCAATTCGCTTGTTCTAAATCGGCTAATTTGCAAGAATAATCCTATGCTTCAATTTTCACACACACATTAATGCTTTACTTTTTACACAAACATCAATTTCAATTACAGTTGAGATGTCATGGGCCAATCAGAAATTAGAGCTGGGAGTTTGAAATACCAGATTTTTTTTTCATCACATAATTTTTTAGCCTCACTGACTGAAGAGTATCAAACTGCAGAATGAGAAGCTGCAGAAATACTCTGGGAAAGGGCTTTGTAGTTTTATATGACTCAGGATTGGCCTTCAGGGCACCAAACTAAGGGGGATGCCAAACTATGCTTAGAGATTTTGTATTTTTAAGTTCAAATTTTTAAGTGTTGCCTGAGAACTACTAACTATACTATAAACAGCTCCCACCAACTGACTTTATAGTATGTTACTTTTTTCAGTTTCCAAATTCCAAAGGTTTTGTTTGTTTTAACCACACATTCCAGGTGTTTATGGTGCAGGTGGCCACCCTAAGGGAGACCAAGAAGTCTATGACTAGGTGCCAGATTTTCTCTGTGTTGGCCACCTCTTTATGGAATGTTCTATCTGTGGAGATGTGCCAGGCTCCTTTCCTCAAAATATTCAGGAAGCACACAAAAGCTCTGCTTTTCAGAGATTCATTCAAGGATAGCCTCCCCATTATAACTGTTGGTCATTCAGTCTTATTTTGATTATTATATTCTATATCCTTTATCTTGTCCATTGATGCCATCTTGATTTTTTTTACATCTGTTGTTTTGTTATATAGAAATGTCTAATTTTATATATTTTTGGTTTGGGTGGGATATGGCTGTTCTTTGTATATTAATTTCACTACTGGAAACCATGCAGAGTATTGGCAAGGCCACTAGATGGTGTGGTATAAAAATAAAAAATGTTAGCAGAACATGACTTTAATTTGAAGCAACATTACTAGGTTATTTAACTATGACAAATACTATAACAAGTAGTATAGAAGAAAGCTGTAGGCTTACAGAGTTGGGGAAGGCAATGAAGGTGCTTGTAACTCAGGGGACTACTTTACTGTAGGACTTCCCTGCTAGGACTACTCCCTACTGCAAGAGTGGGAGAGTGAACATCAGGAGCCAAGTCTAGCTTTCCAGAGTCCCTGTCCTCCTGGGATCCCCAGATGGTCACATCCCATTTTCAAGAATACTACCATGTTTTTGTATAGTACCTTTTCCTATTTCAAAAATCTGAAATTTCTTTTCTGAGGCTTAAATGCTTGGAGTAAAAACTTTAAGTGTTTTTTTAATCCTATCATTTTTCCTTTGGTTCTACTTGCCACTGGACTGCAGCCTTTGAGGACATCTCTGCAACTGAATGAAATCCAGGCTGAAAAGGGTCCCATGCTGTAGTTCTACTGCATCTACTCTCATTTAGCCTCTTATCAAAAAAGCCAGCACATATTCACCTAGTTCCACCAAGTCTCCCCTGCCCCCCTAAACAAACAAACAAACAAATTAACCAACAAAATTTAAAAATTAGTTCAATTAAACTTGTTGTCTACTTTCAATTATTCTGTCCTCTCACTATTTTATTGATTATCTGCTTCTTGATCTTCATGACTGTTCACATTCTCTTGCTCACTTCTATCTGGCCATTTCTGAAAAGGCAACCCCTATATTGCCTGCTAGTTCCCTGTAATTTTGATTTTTAAATGATTAATCTGTCTGTCTTTCATCATCACTCCCTTGAAACATCTTCACCCTTTTCCAAAACCAAGAAACCCCAAAGATAATGCTGATTCTTCTTTCTTTATCATTCTTAGAGTTTTGGAGGCCTTGAGCAGTGTCTCCAATGCTGCTCTCTTTCCTCTACACATTCCCTGGCTTCCAAACCCTCTCCTGGGGAAGAAGAATGAAGCCTGAATAACTGCATTGCAATCTGAGCCAAGGCATGGGGATCCAGACCCTCACAAAACAGAAGAACCTGAAGCATATGCCTAGGTGTTGGCTGGGTATGGTCAAACCCAAAATGAAAGGGCCAGTTTGCTCAATGTAAACCTGCATGGACCCAGGCCTGTCCTGGGGCCAAATGCTGATCATCCCCCCTCACGTGCCTACGGTCAGACGACTTCTTTTTTTAAAAAATCAAAATGACAATTTAAACAGGACTACTGGTGCCCAGCTTTGCTCACTTCTAATTCTAGGCCTGGCTGTTTTCACAGGTTCATTGAGGACTAAATAGTTATACACATAAAGATCAGTAAACCACAACTAGCATAGGTCCATTGAATCAGTGGGGATTTGGTGATTCCACTGTTCCGTTCAGTTCTATCAATTCAATAGGTTTACTCTAACTACAACTTACAGTTGGATTCTAGCCAAAGTATAAAATGTGTACATGTGAACCATAGTTTTAACAGTATGTTAGGGTATGGTACCAGCTCTGTGCCTTGTGTACACACGCGCAGTGCAACATAAATTTGTTTAAATCAATTATTTAAATCAAAGATTTAAATCACAATTTAAATTTAAGATTTTTTATGTCCGTTTAACTCTCCATTAGGATTAGTGACTGAAATGGAGAATTTTCCTGCCAATATGAAAGTTTATGCAGAATTATTTAAAGAAAAATTGATTAGATTAAAAGTCTGGTTGTATAAAATGAGATCGAAAGATCAAATGAAACAAATCCTTCAAAATAAGAATACAATATATCATGGTTGAATTATATGCAATTAGAAAGATGGACTAATGAATTGGTAAAGATATATAATAATGGTAGAGAATATACGAAGTATGAACAGTTTCTATTATCATATAAAGATATTCAGATGACCGATTCAGTAAAGGGTGCAGTGAGTAAAATTTATAGATTCCTGCTTGATCTAGAAGAAGAGAGTGAGAAAGAAGAACTGAAGTTAGTGTGGGAACAAGACTTAGGAAAAAGAATAAATGATGAAGAATGGAGGAAGATGTGGAAAATGAGGTTTTACAATTTATGTCAGTGAGAATAAGAGATAAGTTTTTCAAATTGGTTTTAAGATGGTATTTGACACTGACAAAATTGAATAAAATTAATACTAGTTATCTGAATGTCTGTTGGAAATGTGAGAAGGAAATTGGTACATACGTTCATATGCCGTGGGAATGCAAAAAAGTACAAAGATTTTTGAAACTAATCTTTAAAGAACTAAATGACACATGTGAAAAAGATATAGAATTTAATCCTGAGATCGCTCTGTTATCAATATTTGAGAATGTGGAACATGATAAGATGACTAGAGAATTGATTACCAATTTATAAACAGCAGGTAGATTAATAATAGCTAGGAATTGGAAATCAAAGCCTGAATTTCAAATGGAAGAATGATATAATGAAATATGGAACATTGCTATAAATGATAAGTTAACTTGTAACTTAGAGGTTAAGAAAGGAGAGATGAAAAAGAATAATTTCTATGATATATGGGGCAGGTTTCTTTAATATGTGCTAACAAAAGGAAAAGGGAAAGTTCCAAATCAAGAATCAATGCAGTTCTGGAGAAGAGGACAATAAAGGAAGAAGAAGAATAAAAATAGAGGAAGAAGAGGATTACAGTGGTGCCTCGCTTAACGACGTTAATTTGTTCCAGCTAAATCACTGTAGAGTGAAAACATCGTAAAGCGAAATAAAAAAAGAAAATTGTTTTGCAATTGCAATTGCAAAAACATCATTGTGAAGCGGATTCGTCGTTATACGGGGTAATCGTTAAGCGGGGCATGACTGTACTGCAAGAGGTCCCAACTATGGTGGTGGGGAACGTGGTTAAATTGTATTTTGCCTTATGTATTTTATGTTTAAGTTTATGTTGTATTTTAAGAAAAATAAAAAAAAAGAACTCAACAAAAAATCAGATTTTTTGGACAATTTAAGTCAAAAATATTTTTTTAAATTTAAATCATTTTGATTTTTTTTAAATCATTGATTTTTATCCACCCTGCAACAAATACACTTTTGCCACTACTCAGCTAAAATTTGAAGTGGCCTCACTAAAAGGCCTCACTAAAAGGCTACAAATGCAACCTTTGTATCTTAAACTGTAAATGCTCTCCAGTTTAACTCAATACTTCCATTTACTTCAGTTGACACCTAGCAGCCCAAGAGCTCTGCCACCCAGCTTGGGAGCTTCTATTCCTGCATATGTTGCGGAAGGCTGGCCACCTCCGTGACCACAAGAGGTAACAGGTGATTAGGGGAAAAAACCCAACACATGCAGTTGCAGAGTGTAGGCACTAGTGAACTCTTTCAATGCTGCTGGGTATATTAAGAGACCAAAGGAACTTTTTCATTACATCTCCCTTCCATATTCTTTTTTGAGGCAAAGAGTTCTTGTTGTCTCAAAGAGAGCCCAGTCCACCAACGCTAACGCAGCAAGGTTTAAATTTTGATCACTGAATTTTGGAAATTAAGGAGGGTTAGTTGTGTTTGTATGGAAGATCCCTGAGGAATACTGGGAACCACCAGGTAAGACTAAGAAAGAATTCCGCTCAAAACCCAGGAGAGTCACTGCCACTCAGACAATACTGGTCTAGACAGAATGATGGTCTGACTCGCTACAAGACAAGTTCTTATGTTCCTACAATCCTTGCCTTTGGATCCAGTCAGTTACACACAGGGGAGTACATTCATGCATTTCAAGTGGATATAATAGTTTGTCCTTACATGTAGTATAACAATCAGTTACACACAGGGTAGTACATTCATGCATTTCAAGTGGATATAATCCCTGCTCTGTCCCAGGCTGGCTTGTGGCCACTGTGCTCTTCTTGTGAACAGGCCTTTTGTAAGCAACTCTTCACATTCTTCCACACCTCTTCCAGCACAATCCTGCGCACCTCTACTTGCCCCTATGGA